TTGCATCTATAAATATTAACTGTTTGCAACTCGAATGTTCGTACTTACTGTACTTTGCAAATCAAGCTTCTCTTCTAAATCAGACTGTTCCCTTTCCTGAAACTGATTAGAGGCAGGATTCCTGGGTTATAGCCAGTAGTATCTTTACTGTGATCTCTTCTCCATTTTGCATTTTTAAATATCCTTTTACATCCTTTGCCTGCTTTGCTTCCTGTCTTGTGGAGTGACACGCAGTTTATTACTAGAACTGCACGTGTCCTAAGGGCTTTCACTCGTTGTCTCATTTTTTTCTCTTCCCATTTCTTGGAGTGGGGTGGGGTGAGGAAGGACCTGCCAAGCCTGCAAGCCTACCTACCCACCCATCCTCCCTCTGTCCCAGTGGGACCCCCCTTTAGACTTGTACTAGTGAGGCCACAGCCACAAGGACGCACCAGAGAAGGCTGTCCCAGTATAAAGCTATGTTCTTAAGGATGACTGATCTATAAGCAGTGACAGCCAAGTAAACAAAGGAAGTAATGAGAGAACTCACTTAATTCTGCCTGTAATGTTCAAGGAGTCTCATGGAGATGACATCTGATTTCACTTGCTTGTTTTGGTTTACACAGAGCTGACATTTGAGATGGGGCACAGAAGGCAGCCAAGGTTTCATGAGAAATGAAAGAGAAATGCCAAAGGAATCACACAGCTAGTAGCAGTAGAGGCTATGGAGGAAGATATAAGGGATGAAGTGAGCATCCTACTAAAGCTACATGACTAGCGCCTCAGGGGGACAGGGCTTCCATGTGCTGTTAAAAAGAGTAAGCCTTAACCTTTAAAAGACGTTCAAGCTGAGTATGGTGGCACAGTCCTATCATCCCCAGCACTGTGGGAGTCTGAGGGAAGAGGAACACAACTTCAGGCCTGCCTAGGCAACTTAGTGAGGTGCTGTCTCAAAAGAGTAAGTCAGGTGTGGTGGTACATGCCTATAATCCAGCACCCTGGTAGGCTGAAGCAGAAGGATCCCAAGTTCCAGGCCAACCTGGACAATTCAGAGGCAATAAAAGCCAAGATCCTGTCTCAAAATTTTAAAAAATTTAAAAAGGGAGCTGGGGCTGGGGATGTAGTTCAGTGCAAAGGCCCCGGCTTCAATTCCCAGTACCTCGTCCCTAACTTCAGTATTCCTCTTTTCCCAAGCCAGTGATTTCTTACAGGTTCCTGTTTCAGAAAAATTTGTGGTGACTATGTAAAGGAAGGATAGTTTACAGAGAAGAGAGTAAAGCCAGGGAGACAAGTAAGGAAACTTTCCAAAACCTGGATGAGAATTAAAGTCCTGTGTGTGAACACTGGCGAATGCAGAGGTAGAACTGTAAAGACTTGATTAAACTCAAATTTAAATGCAAGGGAGGAGCAGAGAGATGATATGATTTCTAGCAGATAGGTTTTCACCAAGATGGAATGAAAGGGAGAGAATGAGTGTGATTTGGTCACGGGGGTCATGGGGGACTTCCACATAGAAATGTCCAGCGGACAGTCATGGCTGGATTTCAGGAGAAAAGGTCTAAGAGAAATTTGGACAGAATGGTGGGGAACACTGACATTTAAGAGCCAGAAGAAGAGCCAGGGTAAGAAGAAAACCTTGGAAAACTGTTTTAGAAGCCAAATTCAGTAACATCTTTCTGAAATTATGAACTGGTACAGTGAAGGCTAGCTGAGAACTGGATAACTAGAATATTAGAAGTCAGCTCATCCTAGTTACTTCAGGAGAGCTGGTCTAATGACAACCTTGAAAACAGTCATCTTCTGACTTAGTGGGGCCAATAGGTCAGGGAAGGCTATTCATAGCCTCACCTAGTTGACCTTTCACCTGCTGGTGTCCTTTCCCCTCAGAACCCCGAAGCCAAGACAGGAGACGGCGGCAGCAGCCACTGACCCATAGCTCTACCGCAAGCAGCCTGGCCCCGAGCCCAACCCCTGCTAGTTCTGGCCCAGCCACATCACACAGCCTGGGCTCCTGCCTACTGCCCAATTCACTGAGCACATCAGGTCTGTACCCACTGTCCCTGAAGTGTGGGTTGGCTGGCCTCCTCCCTTCTCGGCCATCCAGGGCTTATACCAAGCTCCATACTAGGCCAGAAGAAATCTCTGGCTTTGCTGCCACTTAACCTGGACTTCCTTTTTGACTTCATGTAATGCAGGCCACTCCAGACTTGGCATATTGTTACGTTCCTCGTATCCTAAACCCCTAACACCTGTGCTCTTTGTATAGAAGGCTGGAATTTAATGAAATGTCTTTGTAAAATAAAATAGCACTTAATATTACTATCTGCCAGGCAGGACATGGCTTTACATGCTCTAATTTAATACTCATTTTTACAGTAGAGGAACTTGAAAACTTTTTCCACCTGCCAAGTGCTACTTATTCAAGTTTCTTGATTCCAGGAACTGAGCAACATTAGACAAAAATGGAGAATGAAAAAAGCATGTGTGTCATCTGTTGTCACTGCAAATGTCATCCTGTCATCCACACAAAAAAGCCATCTACTCTCCTTTTAAGTATCGACCCTGCTGTGGAAAGGACTGGACAGTATCAATTTCTAAGACTCCAGTCTAATAGCTTCTCCCTTACATAGAGCCACTGTCAATCTGTCTGCTCTCAAGGGGAAGCCTTCAGTACAGGTCTTAGGTAGAGTGGACTTGTTCCCTACATGCCTTAAGATATGACTAGGGTAGGCCCAGGGTTTATAAATCTACACAGTATTTATGCTTGGGTAGGTTCCGATTGTAACCAGAAGTTGCTTCTCCAGCTCCTGGACCAGAGTGGCGCCTTACTGGGGTGGTTTTGCCCTCCCAGGGAACTTCTGGCAACAACTTGGAGGCACTGGCATGGTTGGTTGTTACAACAGAGAAGGGCCTGGAGAGTAATGGCATATAGGGTGCTAAACATCCTACAGTTTGCATGGTAACTCCTGCAACCAAGGGTTAGCTAACCCACTTCAGTAACGCCAAGATTAGGAGCTGGGGGTAGAGCTCAGTGGTAAAGCCTTGTGCTCAATCCCCTGCACTACCAAAAAAAAAGTGCCAAGGTTGCAGTTACTTCCTCCATGGCCTCTAACCTGATAATCAGTTTTCCTGTGCTCTCTAGGTAGCAGCTGTTCACTCTTTACTTCGGAGGACAAGCCAGAGTCGGTCATGGTGATTGGGAGAGGTCCACTGGGAACTAGTGCTCGGATACCCTGCATCAGGACTCGACTGCAGGTAACAGATTTGGGCCTTCCCCAGTTTCTAGCATAACTGTGGCAGAACCCGGTAAGGTGCTGTTCACCTGGGGAAGCGGGGGTGCTCAGCCCTGCTTTACAGCTTCTACTTCCAGCCGTATCAGAGAGCTGCTCTGGTGCCGAGTGCTTACCTGCCTGGTCCCACCCCAGTACCGTCAGCTAGATGTCTTGCTTGCTTCTAACCCCACTGTCCCTGCCAGATACATGTCAGCCTGCTATCTTTGGCTTTCCCTGCCCCTGCCCTTAGCGTCTCCTCTCTTTCTGCCCAGACTTGCCCGAGGAGAATTTCCACCAGGAGGGGTCCCGGATTCCCCAGGTAACATCTGGTTGCTGCTCCTAGGAATAGCCTTGCCACCAGTCCAGTTCAGTCCTGATCGCTATGTGTGTTTAGCTAAAGTTGGGTATAAACAGAAGCTGACTGGATGGGTGAAACCTAAGCTGCTGTGGCGGGCTGAGGCCTAGAAGGCTCTCGGGAGATCTCCTAGTCCTCCATCATCTTTCTACAGTGCTTCTCTACTCAGCCAGACCATGGCGTGATCTACTCATGAAAGCTAAATGTTGGACCCTTTTGCCACCCCTAGTTACATAAGACTTGGAAAGCGTTAGTCATGAACTGAATGCAGGAGCTCTGTTATCCTGCCTCATCCACTCAACTAGGACAATGCCCAGAAATTCAAGGTCCTGGTTCCTCTGCTGACTCCTATAGTAGGCCCTAGGCATGGAAATTCTAGAAGGAGAAAAGCTCACTGAAGAAGCCAGCCTCTTAGCCAACTCCTATCCACACAGGCTAGGCCCAGGTTGGGCCGGGGCTCACCGACAGCTTGCAGAGAGATAAGAGGCTCTTCGGGCCCCACATCCCCTGTCCCCAGGACCAGAGAGAGCAATGAGCCACAGCCGGGACCCTCTGCTACACCAGGGTGAGCAACAGGGTCCATTCCTTTGCCCCACCCCTCATTTCTTTCATCACTTCATCCCCATTTCTGCCCTGCAGGATACTTTTCTTCCTTCCCTATTTCCTGTAACTAAATGTACTTTCATCAAGAATCCAGTCCCCGACTTTTATTCCATCATGGCTTCAGTCTTCAATTGAAAGGATAAGAAAACAACTTCAGGTTAGGGCCTAAGGCCTGGGAGCTAGCTAGTTCCAGCATCAGACCTCTGTACAGTAACTCTGCCTGTCCTTACCCGTCTTCATCTCTCCTCCTTTCACCTCCCAGCCCCTGGCTAACAGACCAGAAGAGGGGCACTTTCCACAACCCTGATTCCTCTCTTCTCTGTTGCAGGCTGCCTCAGGCCGGCCCCCTACGGCCCCACTCTGCCCCTGCCTTTTCCCCTATTTCCTGTGCTCTGTCTGACTCCCCATCCCGGACTTGTTACAGCGGGGGGCCCTTGGGCCAACCTGAGGTTTGTTTTGTCCCTAAACCTACCCCACTCACAGTATCTCCCCGGGTCTGAAAATGCCTTTACCTTAATGCCCAAAATGGGGAACACAGTGAAAAACATGCTAGTGCCCTCTCTCAGCTGCTGATTCCATGTGACATCCGTAACTCCTGGAATACCAGCCACACTATCTGAAGCATTGCAGAGCTTCATGTCCACACAGTACAAAACAGGGACTTACTACCCTTTCCCTCCCTCCACAGCACAAGAGCTTGGGACCACAAAATATATATATCTATATTTTTGTATTGGGGGGAAGGAGTAGAAAAGAAAGCAGCCCCCATACTGGACCCTAGTCAGTGGCAGCTTCTCGTTCCATAAGGTTAAGAAGACTTTGAGGAAATAAAACTTGTTTGGAAAAATCCGGGTGAAGTTGCTTTGTATGTTGTGATGGGCAGAAGGGATGAGGTGAAGTGTGGAGGCCCCTCACTCCCTCCATCTGGCCTCAGACTATGTCCTGGAGCCCTAGAAAAGAGGGGGAAAGACCCGAGGTAAGGAAAATGCTGCAGCTTTCCTCTGGGGAATCCTTCCACCTGTTCCCTTTACATCGCTGACCCGTACCTAAGGCTGGTTCCCAAGACCCTCCCACCTTTCTTGTCTGCCGTGGGTCTGCAGTAGCCAATCCCTAAAACAATCCCCCTGGCCTCAGAACTTGAAAATAAAGGCTTACATCTTTCACTCCCTGTCGCGGGGAAAAAAATGCCGAAGCAAAACCTCAACAACCTTGGGAAAGTGAAGGCTATTTAAGTAAAGAGCTCAAAGCCTCCTCCTGGATGGTACCTCAGTATCTATCATTATTACCCGTGCCAGCAGCTCCTTGTAACCATACTCCAACGTGAGCATTTACCTCCGGGGAAGCCCAGGAAGATGGGGACTTAGGAAACGCCCCCATTCCAGCAGGGAAGGGGCAGGGCACTGCAAGGCGCCCACTACTCTGGGCGGAAAGGACCCAGTACTGGACTAGCATGCGTGGCCTGATATATCTGGTTTCAGATTTCTAATCCTTCAGGCCCTGACGCGACCTCACCACTGAGATCTCCGGGGCTGGGCGCTGGAGCCCCAGACCGTTACCTGGGGCGGAGAAAGCGCCACTTTCATTCCTGTTTCTTGGGGTTGTTGACGGCCACGTAGTGATAGAGAACGACAAGCAAGAAGAGCGACACGCCCAGCATGTTGGCAAATATGGCGAGCTGCACGTCCGTGATCATCCTGCGGAGAAGAGGAGGGGCTGAACCTCGGCCGGCGCGTTCCTCGCCCAGGCCAGGAGCCGTCCTCGGCCCC